CTCACGTATTTTTTTCCCTTTCTCTCTGTTTATCTCCGTTCATTTCGTATATGTTCACTATCTCTCTCATCACTCTCTACCTCCTGTCTGTCTGTCTGTCTGTCTGTCTGTCTGTCTAATTATATATATGAATTTTATCTGGTGCTAAGTGAACGTATCTTAGTTAAGGCAGAGTTCCGGTGTTAAATGAACAACGAAGTTAAGGTAGAGTCTCAGTGTTAAGTGAACGTATCTAGTTAAGGTAGAGTCTTAGTGTTAAGTGAACGTATCTAGTTAAGGTAGAGTCTCGGTGTTAAATGAACGTATCTAGTTAAGGTAGAGTCTCAGTGTTAAGTGAACGTATCTAGTTAAGGTAGAGTCTCGGTGTTAAATGAACGTATCTAGTTAAGGTAGAGTCTCGGTGTTAAATGAACGTATCTAGTTAAGGTAGAGTCTCGGTGTTAAATGAACGTATCTAGTTAAGGTAGAGTCTCAGTGTTAAGTGAACGTATCTAGTTAAAGTAGAGTCTCAGTGTTAAATGAACGTATCTAGTTAAGGTAGAGTCTCAGTATTAAATGAACGTATCTAGTTAAGGTAGAGTCTCAGTGTTAAATGAACGTATCTAGTTAAGGTAGAGTCTCAGTATTAAATGAACGTATCTAGTTAAGGTAGAGTCTCAGTGTTAAATGAACGTATCTAGTTAAGGTAGAGTCTTAGTGTTAAGTGAACGTATCTAGTTAAGGTAGAGTCTCAGTATTAAATGAACGTATCTAGTTAAGGTAGAGTCTCAGTGTTAAATGAACGTATCTAGTTAAGGTAGAGTCTCAGTATTAAATGAACGTATCTAGTTAAGGTAGAGTCTCAGTGTTAAATGAACGTATCTAGTTAAGGTAGAGTCTTAGTGTTAAGTGAACGTATCTAGTTAAGGTAGAGTCTCAGTGTTAAATGAACGTATCAAGTTAAAGTAGAGTCTCAGTGTTAAATGAACGTATCTAGTTAAGGTAGAGTCTCAGTGTAGGGTCGGGTGGTGTAGGGATGGGGTGGGATAGGAGTGGGATGGGATTGGATAGGAGTGGGGGTGGAGTGGGGTGGGGTAGGGTAGGGTAGGGTGGGGTGGGGTAGGAGTGGGGTGGGGTAGGAGTGGGGTGGGGCTATTGTTCCAGCCTTTTAACCCGTTGCCAACCTGTTTCTGACTTAATGGCGCGCTTTTATCGTTTTTTAAAGGCATGTGGAGGTGCAGCATGAGGCTAGTAGCGCCATGGTGTATGACCGTGTGGGAGGGGAGGAATTGTGAGTCGCTTGTGAGGAATTGTGAGTCGCTTGTGAGGAATTGTGAGTCGCTTGTGAGGAATTGTGAGTCGCTTGTGAGGAATTGTGAGATGTTGTGAGATTTTGTGAGGAATTGTGAGTCGCTTGTGAGGAATTGTGAGGAGTTGTGAGAACGTGTGAGTCGCTTGTGAGGAGCTGTGAGTAGATTGTGAGTAGATTATGAGTAAATTATGAGTAAATGTGAGTAAACTGCAATTAAAAAAAATCTAATGACATCATCTATAAAATTTCTTCCCAATAGTTCCATAAATTATAGGAAATTATCGAGGGTATAACTAGACCAAATTACCATCAATAAAAATATACTTAATTATAGCGCAAATATTTTTCTTTTAGATCCATTATGAAATTTGAGATGAAATTACGTGTTTTTTTCTAACTGGTTAAAAGAATTGGATCGTTAAACCGTATAATTTTTTTTTTTTAGTTTTTTCTTTGAGAATATTTTGAATTGTCGGCTTTTTTTTGAAAGGTAAAGTATACAGGTCGTTAGAGGTTAAAGTTATTGGTTGTTACAGGTTAGGGTTATAGGTCGTTAGAGGTTAAGGTTGTAGGTCGTTAAAGGTCAGGGTTATAGGTCGTTGGTTAGGGTTATAGGTCGTTAGAGGTTAAGGTTGTAGGTCGTTAAAGGTCAGGGTTATAGGTCGTTGGTTAGGGTTATAGGTCGTCACAGGTTAAGGTTATCGGTCGTTATAGGCCAAAGTTATAGGTCGTTACAGGATAAGGTTACAGGTCGTTACAGGATAAGGTCACAGGTCAAGATTATAGATCGTTACAGGTCAAGGTTAGAGGTTGTTACAATCAAGGTTACAGATCGTTACAGGCTGTTACAGGTCAAGGTTACAGATCATAGTAACAGGTCGATACAGGTCGTTACAGGTCATCCCAAAACACACTGACTGACCTACTTTTTAAGATAACAATAAATTAATATGACCTTAACTTTACCTGTACACATCTGATGACCTTAATATAACCTGGAATTAAGGAGGATATCGATTACGTGACCTTTTTGGTTAGATTAGGTTAGGTTAGGTTAAGTTTAGTTAGGTTATGTTAGGTTAGGTTTGGTTAGGTTTGGTTAGGTTAGGTTAAGTTTAGTTAGGTTATGTTAGGTTAGGTTTGGTTAGGTTAGGTTAGATTAGGTTAGGTTAGGTTAAGTTTAGTTAGGTTATGTTAGGTTAGGTTTGGTTAGGTTTGGTTAGGTTTGGTTAGATTAGGTTAAGTTTAGTTAGGTTATGTTAGGTTAGGTTTGGTTAGGTTTGGTTAGGTTAGGTTAAGTTTAGTTAGGTTATGTTAGGTTAGGTTTGGTTAGGTTTGGTTAGATTAGGTTAGGTTAGGTTAAGCTTAGTTAGGTTATGTTAGGTTAGGTTTGTTTAGGTTAGGCTAGGTTAACAGTACCGTACACCTAATTAGATGGACAGGTAAAAAAAAACTGGGTCAAATCGTCTCCAGGTGTGTGATAGACCCATCAGGTGACCACAGACTGACACACACACAGACAGACAGACAGACAGACAGACAGACAATACCTACATACACAGCCACCAAACACTTTCTCATTACAGTTTTAATTACACCTTTCTATAGTTTGATGGAAGCTTTAATTACAGCTGACAGGAGGAACGCTGTTAAGTGGTATGGTGATTGGGTCGTTAAAGAGGCTCTATTAATAGTATGGGAATCCTTAACCACACACACACACACACACACACACACACAATAACGCGTACACACACACACACACACACACAATAACGCGTACACACACACACACACACACAATAACGCGTACACACACACACACTAACACATAATATCCTTAAAAAACGAGTAATATCCTTAAAAAACGAGTAATATCCTCAAAAAACGAGTAATATCCTTTAGAAACGAGTAATATCCTTTAAAAATGAGTAATATCCTTCAAAAACGAGTACTATCCTTTAAAACGAGTAATATTCTTGAAAAAACGAGTAATATCCTTTAAAACGAGTAATATTCTTGAAAAAACGAGTAATATCCTTTAGAAACGAGTAATATCCTTTAAAAATGAGTAATATCCTTCAAACACCAGTAATATCCTTCAAAACCGAGTAATATCACTGTTATTCACTGTAATACATTGTTATTCACTGTAATACATTGTTATGCATTTTCATTCATTGTCATTCACTGTTATTCATTGTTATTCAGTTATGTTCACTGTTTTTCGTTGCCATTCATTGTTGTTCACTGTTATTCGTTGCCATTCATTGTTGTTCACTGTTATTCATTGTTATTCAGTTTTGTTCACTGTTATTCGTTGCCATTCATTGTTGTTCACTGTTTTTCGTTGCCATTCATTGTTGTTCACTGTTATTCGTTGCCTTTCATTGTTGTTCACTGTTATTCACTGTTATTCATTGTTATACACCTTCATACATTGTCATACACTCATTACTATAACAGGTGGTGTTTACTGCAGTGTTCTCTCTACCACAACACAACAGGAACATAACAGGAACACAACAGGAACATAACAGGAATACAAAAGGAACATAACAGGAACATAACAGGAACATAACAGGAGCACAACAGGAACATAACAGGAACATAACAGGAACACAACACGGACATAACAGGGACATAACAGGAACATAACAGGGACATAACAGGAACATAACAGGAACATAACAGGAACATAACAGGAACATAACAGGGACATAACAGGGACATAACAGGAACACAACAGGGGCATAACAGGGACATAACAGGAACATAACAGGAACATAACAGGAACACAACACACACAGCTGATGAAAACCTGTCGCAACGTGTTTTACAGGGAGAGAAAACCATGATGTCACCTCACTGTGTCTCAAGCGACCTAATCTGACCTGACCACCCGCGTTGTCACTCAGCCCTCCTTCCCTCCCCTTCCCCCTTCACCCTTCCTCCCCCCTTCCTTCCCCTCAACCCTCCATCCTCCCATCTCCTTCCCTCTTCCTCTCTGATTCCCTTTACTCTTCCTTTCCCCCATCCCCCCTCCTCGTCACTCCACCCCTTCCCTCCTCCCTCCTCCCCTCCCGACGTATTTCTTTGATCTCTTTCTCCTAAACAACATTATTGATGTTTTTTTTTGTATACGTGTTTGAATTTGTGCAATGTCAGGTTAATGTCATGTGTGTGTGTGTGTGTGTGTGTGTGTGTGTGTGTGTGTGTGTGTGTGTGTGTGTGGGTGTGTGTGTGTGTGTGTGTGTGTGTGTGTGTGTGTGTGTGTGTGTGTGTTCAACAGTCTATATCATACAAACGATATAACTTACAACGCACTTTACATAAATGCACTTGTGAGCACAATTAGCATAGTTACTTAACATAAACTTAGAACACACTTAAATATGCAATCAGGATACTTACAATCATGACGCGAGATACAGAAGTTACTTACAGGTACAACAAGAACACTTACTTAACACACACAACAAGAACACACTCTACACACACACAACAAGAACACACTCTACACACACACACACACACACACTACACAAGACAATCACTAGGTAGCGGCTACATCAGTGTGGGATGGACCTCAGGCCGCGCTGGAGGCTGAGACAGTTTCACCCCAAATTGTGGCAAGGAAAGGAATCCACCCAACGTGACGGCGAGTTACGTCAGAATACATACAGGAGGCAATGACGTCAGTACTCACCCCCAGGCGGCGCTGAAGGTCGCTCTCCAAGGACACGACGACGATGATGGCGACGTTGGTGATGGAGTCTTGTGGATCACGGTGGGACCTGCTGGGGACGTGCTAAGGGCGTGATGCTGGGGGTCGTTAAGGACTCGAGGACCTTCTGGAGTATATCATCTTCAAGGATAAGACTCTGGGAAGTATCTGGATTACGTCACTTTCAAGAGGTCAAGGTCGAGGTCGAGATTTACTGTACAAGGCCTCGAGGACTTCCCAAGTCGTGTCACTGTCTAGGGGCTCGACGCTGATATTCGTAAAGTCTGTGAAGTTCCTGGATTATGTCACTCTCGAGAAGGCGACGACGGAGGCGGTGAGAGTTGAAGAACTTTTTAATGATGTCGTCTTTAGAGACCGACAAGATGGAGGCCACCGACAGAGGTAAATAAACGTGGAGGGAGAAGCACTGGGAGTCGCGGTGTCGTGGTGAAGGTCTGGCTGATGTCTTGTTCTTTCAGCTGGTATTAGGAGGTCTGCTACAGGAAGGTCGTATATATGTGTGTGTGTGTCACTCCTCAACTAGGGACAGTCTTTTTAAACTAATACAAATCCTTACACTAGATTTGGCCTCGGTTGAGTTCACTGAGTCACTTGGGATGTGTTGATATATTGCACTTCTAAAATAATTATCTCTACTAAGAAATCTATTCACGGAGAGAATATAACTCTACTATATACAACTGTACATTAAAGTTTCTGAGCTAAGAGTTCACTATCATACACACGAATAATGTTAATATTTATTGATGGTTGATACGTGGTAACCAGATCCCGTCGTCTACTCAAACACCTCTAACTGCTACTGCTGGGGGTGGTGACGGTGGTGGCTCCTGAGTTGCTGATGACCACGACGAGGTTCTCACAACACAGGTCCTGAGGTTCTTGCCCGGTCGAGTGATCCTTTGGCTGGGTCTTGGCTCTGGTTTGTTTTGATTGCTGCTGCCCAAGAGGGTATTATTATTCTGCCTCAAGTGCAAGACCACCACGGGGAGAGACAGTGAGAGATACCTTGGCCGAGAGATGCCTTAATTGATACTTGACTGAGAGACACTTTGATTCTTGTTTGGTAGAGAGATCCTTTGACTAGACCTCGGTAAAGAGAACCTTTGACTAGACCTCGGTAGAAAGAACCTTTGACTAGACCTCGGTAGAAAGAACCTTTGACTAGACCTCGGTAGAAAGAACCTTTGGCCAGACCTCGGTAAAGAGAACCTTTGACTAGACCTCAGTAGAGAGAACCTTTGGCTAGACCTCAGTGTAGAGAGAGGGGGTGTGTGTGTGTGAGAGAGAGAAAAAGAGAGATGCCGTGACCAGGTAAGATAATCAAGAGATACTTCAACCGATTCGTGTTGAAGAGATCGTTCGCCCTGATAACCTGACTGTCAGACAATGTCGATCTTCATTACCTGTTGCCTTTAGAGGGTAATTAACAGCATCAATATCGGCAGCGGTGAACCAGCAGATGATATGGAAGACGGGGGAGGGGTGTACTTCACTATTGATTACAACACAGATAATCTCCTTTGGAATATTCGTGGCGACTGTATCCTTAACTTACACTTATGTTATTATACAGTTATTATACAGTTATTATCACTAGGGAAGAGGAACTGTGACTGTTACTTTATATATAATAGTTATCTCACGCGAGTAAGTGTATGTGTGAGAGGGGGTGGTGTTGTTAAAGTGAGTGTGTTTCTTGAGTGTGTTAAGTGTCACGAGGGACTTGCAGATAAAATTCGATATTATTCATAAAATTCTCAGTAGTTTTTCAGGAAATTGTACCATTTTCTTGCCTTTACAAATTTAAAGTTTCGTTACCTGCAGGTGTGTGTGTTGGAGGTGTGGTTGGGTACAGGTGTGTGTGTGTGTGGCAGTGGTGTGGTTGCTTCTGGAGTGTGTGTTGGAGTACAGGTGTGTGTGTGTGTGTGGTGGTGTGGTGTGTGTGTGTTGGTGGTTGGGCACAGGTGTGTGTGTGTGGTGGTGGTGTGGTTAGCTACAGGTGTGTGTGTTGGAGGTGTGGTTGGGTACAGGTGTGTGTGTGTGGTGGTGGTGTGGTTGCTACAGGTGTGTGTGTGTTGGAGGTGTGGTTGGGGTACAGGTGTGTGTGTGTGTGGTGGTGGTGTGGTTAGCTACAGGTGTGTGTTGGAGGTGTGGTTGGGGAGGTGTGTGTGTGGTGGTGTGGTGGTGTGGTTTAGGTGTGTGTGTGGTGGTGGTGTGGTTAGCTACAGTGTGTTGGAAAGGGTGGTGTGTGTGTGTGGTGGTGTGTGTGTGGTTAGCTACAGGTGTGTGTGTGTTGAGGTGTGGTGGGTACAGGTGTGTGTGTGTGGTGGTGTGTGGGCTACAGGTGTGTGTTGGAGGTGTGGTGGGGTGTGTGTGTGTGGTGGTGTGGTTACAGGTGTGTGCCAGTAAGCCACTGTAGTTCAGCACATACCTGACTCACAAGACAACACAGTGACAAGAATCAGTAGTTTCACGCTTAGCAAGAAATGGCAGGGGTGTGTGGGGTGGGGTGGTGAGGTGTGGGGTGGGTGGTGAGGGCGGCGTGTGGGTGGGTGGTGAAGGCGGCGTGTGGGTGGGTGGGTGGTGAGGGTGGTGTATGGGTAGGTGGTGAAGGCGGCGTGTAGGTGGGTGGAGAGGGAAGCGGTTTAGGTAGTTAGTAAGGAGGGTGTGTGAGTGGGTGGTGAGGGCGGCGTCTTCAACTAGCGAGCAACACGTGGTAGTATGGGGCCACGTGCGCCTCCTCCACTACAACACTTCACTATCACAACACTGGGGCCTCACCTGGAGGTCCTCACCTGTACTAAACTATATGATCACTGAGGCGAAGGATGACTGGCCGCCTGTCACCGTAAAGTTCACATTCCCGGGGTGTGACCTGAGACTCGGAGTGACCGGGGGAGGTGCGCGTGAATCAGCTCAGGTCATGGGTGTTGTGTTGTGTACCTGCCGCACCTGTCACCATGTTTCAGCAGGTAGGGGCGGCGAGGGGCTGGTGGCGCTGTGGCGGAGGTGACGACGGCGGGGGAGTTGTGGCGGCGGCGGTGGCGGGCAGCGCTGTGCTGGCGGTGAAGGTGCGCTGGCGGGACTCACCTGGACAACCCGGCCCCCTCCCTCCCCCCGCCACCAGTGCGCCGTCGTGTTGACCCACCGAGTTGGCCCTCCACCACCCCCTCCTCCTCAACCACTACCTTCAGCCTCCACACCACCCCACTCCTCCACCAATATCCCTCACCACCACATCACCCCACCTCCACCACCACTACCCCCTCCACCACTCCACCACCACTACCCCACCACTCCACCACCACTACCTCAGCCTCCACACCACCCCACCCTCCACCAATATCCCCACCACCACATCACCCCACTCCTCCACCACCACCCCTCCACCACTCCACCACCACTACCCCCTCCACCACTCCACCACCACTACCCCTCACTCCCACACTCCATACCACAACACTTTCACATGAATTTTCCAACACACATAACCATTCCCCACACTCAGAGTCTGGAGGCCCAGTACTGCTCCTCCACCACAGTTGAGGTGGATCACGCTACCACACAGGCACACCAACTGACCCACCCACCCACCCACATCCACCCTCACCCACTATTCCTCACCAGCATTACCTCCATCACCCTCCACCCTCCAACCATCCCCTCCACTCTCCACCTCCACCACAACGGCTTCACCATCAAGATTAGGTTAGGTTAGGCTAGGTTAGGTCAGGTCAGGTCAGGCTAGGTTAGGTTAGGTCAGGTTAGGTCAGGTTAGATTAGGTTAGTTTAGGTTAGGGCACGGTAGGTTAGGTTAGGTTAGGTTAGGGCACGGTAGGTTAGGTTAGATTAGGTAAGCGTGATCAAGGTAACAGTAGTGAGTGACATGCACAGGTCAATATTGACGGCCGTAAGAGTGATACCAGCGTGAGACTCAGGGATAATCAATATATAACAGGGGTGGTTGGGACAATATCCTGAGGGAAGTGAGGAGAGAAAGACCCCCCTTACTTTCTCCTCCCTCCCCCCTCCTCCTCTTCTGTCACTCCCTCCTCCCTTCTCTCCTCCCCTCACATATATACAAAACTCTTACCCTACTTCTTCCTTAGTTAAAGCTGAGGGAGGCACCAGGAGGGTGACGGTGACCCCAGCAGGTAGGTCCTAAAAGTAACCCCCCCAGCAGGTAGGTCCTATGTACCCCAGCAGGTAGGTCCTAAGAGTAACCCCCTCCAGCAGGTAAGGTCCTAAGAGCACCCCAGCAGGTAGGTCCTAACAGCACCCCCAGCAGGTAGGTCCCAAGAGTAACCCCCAGCAGGTAGGTCCCAAGAGTAACCCCCAGCAGGTAGGTCCTAAGAGTAACCCCCCGCAGGCAGGTAGGTCCTAAGAGCAACCCCCAGCAGGTAGGTCCCAAGAGCAACCCCTCCAAGCAGGTAGGTCCTAAGAGTAACCCCCCAGCAGGTAGGTCCTGAGTAACCCCAGCAGGTAGGTCCCAAGAGTAACCTCCAAGCAGGTAGGTCCAAGAGTAACCCCCCAGCAGGTAAGTCCTAAGAGCACCCCCCAGCAGGTAGGTCCTAGAGTAACCCCAGCAGGTAGGTCCTAAGAGTAACCTCCAAGCAGGTAGGTCCAAAGAGTACCCCCAGCAGGTAGGTCCTAAGGTAACCCCCCAGCAGGTAGGTCCTAAGAGTAACCCCCAGCAGGTAGGTCCTAAGAGTACCCCAGCAGGTAGGTCCAAGTGTACCCCCCAGCAGGTAGGTCCTAAGAGTACCCCCCAGCAGGTAGGTCCTAAGTGTACCCCAGCAGGTAAGGTCCCAAGAGTACCACCCCTCAGCAGGTAGGTCCCAAGAGCAACCCCCCAGCAGGTAGGTCCTAAGAGTAACCCCACCAGCAGGTAGGTCCTAAGAGTACCCCCCAGCAGGTAGGTCCTATGTACCCCCCAGCAGGTAGGTCCCAAGAGTACCCCCAGCAGGTAGGTCCTAAGAGTAACCCCCCCAGCAGGTAGGTCCTAAGAGTAACCCCCAGCAGGTAGGTCCCAAGAGTAACCCCCAGCAGGTAGGTCCCAAGAGCACCCCAAGGTAGGTCCCAAGAGCACCCCAGCAGGTAGGTCCTAGCACCCCCAGCAGGTAGGTCCTATGTACCCAGCAGGTAGGTCCTAAGAGACCCCCCAGCAGGTAGGTCCTAAGTGTACCCCCAGCAGGTAAGGTCCTAAGAGTACCACCCTCAGCAGGTAGGTCCCAAGAGTAACCCCCCAGCAGGTAGGTCCTAAGAGTAACCCCCCAGCAGGTAGGTCCTAAGAGTAACCCCAGCAGGTAGGTCCTAAGAGTAACCCCCACCAGCAGGTAGGTCCTAAGAGCACCCCCAGCAGGTAGGTCCCAAGTGGCCCCCCAGCAGGTAGGTCCTAAGAGTACCCCAGCAGGTAGGTCCTAAGAGTAACCCCCCAGCAGGTAGGTCCTAAGAGTAACCCCAGCAGGTAGGTCCTAAGAGTAACCCCCCAGCAGGTAGGTCCTAAGAGTACCCCCAGCAGGTAGGTCCTAAGAGTAACCCCCAGCAGGTAGGTCATGAGTAACCCCCAGCAGGTAGGTCCAAGAGTAACCCCCAGAAGGTAGGTCCTAAGAGTACCCCCCAGCAGGTAGGTCCTAAGATAACCCCCCCAGCAGGTAAGGTCCTAAGAGTACCCCAACAGGTAGGTCCTCAGGTGTGGTGCCAGGATAGAACATTATTGGAAGGCTTTACAGAGACCCACCAGTCGAGGAACACTTATTGTGGTCCAAGGATATTGCATTGAATTTACATATTTTTTTTACATTGAATTTACATATCTCGGACTGATTTACATATTTCGGAGTGATTTACATACAGTATTTCTGATGGATTTACATATTGCTGATTGATTTACATATTGCTGACTGATTTACATATTTCGGAGTGATTTACATACAGTATTTCTGATGGATTTACATATTGCTGATTGATTTATATATTGCTGATTGATTTACATATTTCGGAGTGATTTACATACAGTATTTCTGATGGATTTACATATTGCTGATTGATTTACATATTGCTGATTGATTTACATATTTCTGACTGATTTACATACAGTGTTTCTGATGGATTTACATATTTCTCACTCATTTACATATTTTTGGGGGGTGGATTTACATGTTTCTGTACTAAATTTACATATTATTACCCGATTTACAAATATTTTTAACCGAATTTACATTATTTTTCAAGTGACACACACACACACACACACATGGTGCGATATAAATATACAGCTGCGACTCACCAATCTGGGAGACTCGACCAAAAAAAAAAAATACAAACTTTGCTAATACATATTTTTTTTTTTGTTCAACGTTGATAAACAAATTGTGTGTGTGTGTGTGTGTGTGTGTGTGTGTGTGTGTGTGTGTGTGTGTGGTTTGATATCTATGGTGTTCATTTCATTATCATCACCCATATTAGTATTAGCCTGGTACATGGGTGGTGGTGGTGTGATTGACTAGAGTATGTGTGGGGTGACAGTGGTGGGCGGCGAAGGTGGTGGGCGGCGACAGTGTGTGGTGGGTGGGGTGGGGGGGCGGTGATAGTGTGGTAGGCGTTGAACGAGTGGTGTACAAGTACCCATGTGTACGTACACGTTTATGAGTACGGAGATGATGAAAGAACGGTGTGTGTGTGTGTGTGTGTGTGTGTGTGTGTGTGTGTGGTAAGGAGTGTGGAAGAGTGGGGAGGATAGTGTGAGAGTAGTGAGGATGTCTAGTGGTGGGGAGTAAGGAGGGTAGTAGTGGGGAGTGTAGGGGAATTGGGGAGTGGTGAGGGTGGTAGTGAGAGTGTGGGGGGTGGGGTTGTAATCTCCCCAAATAAGGCAGACCATCTCCTTCCCTCCCCCACTCTCTACAAGGGAAAAGTCTTTACTGTCAACACTTCATCTTTCTCCCCACTCTCTCTCCTTCATACCTTCCTTCCTTCTCTCCCTCCTTCCTTCCTTCTTCCCCTCCTCCTCCCTTCCCCCTCTCTCTTCCTTCTTTCTTACTTCAATATCTGTCATGATAGAGAGAATGAGATATTGATAGGTATATAGATTGGGCAGAGAGGACTACCTACATACCTATAATACCCCCCACCTCTTGTGTACCTGCCGTTGTGGTCTACAAGAATCAATGGTTATATCTGAAGGTCTTACTCTGGGTTCAATAGTATACTGCTTCCCCTCTCTTGTACCTATGACCTAACCTAACTTAACTTAACCTAAGCTAACCTAACCTGAACTATCCTGTCCTAACCTAACACCTAACCAGCTAACTAACCTGAACTATCCTTGCTCACCTAACCTGACCCTAACCAAGCTAACTAACCTGAACTATCCTGTCCTAACCTAACCTGACCTAACTTAACCTAAGCTAATCTGAACTATCCTGTCCTAACCTAACCTGACCTAACCAACAACTAAGCTAATGAACTATCTGTCCCTAACCTAACCAACCACTTACAATTGTTTTCCAACCTAACCTAGCTATGTCTAATCTAATCTAATCTAACACACACACACACACACACACAAACAAACACACAAACGGACATAATCAATATACCTTCGTCACAGTATAATACGGTAATAATATATGCTACTTAGTGTGATGTGTCTGTCTGTTATTATTATAGCAATCGATAGCTAAATCACCCCCACCCCCTCTATGTTAAATACACCCCCTCTCTCACCCCCTCTATGTTAGCTATCCTCCCCCACCCTATAAGCCCTCCCCCCACCCCTCTATAAGCTATACCCCCTCCCCCACCCCTCTATAAGCTATACACCTCCCCACCCCCTCTATAAGCTATACCCCTTCCCCACCCCCCTCCCACCCCCCTCTATAGCTACTATGCCCCTCACCCCCTCTATAAGCTATACACCCCTCCCCCACCCCCTCTATAAGCTATACCTCCCCACCCCCCTCTATAAGCTGTCACACCCCTCCCCACCCCCTCTATAAGCTATACCCCTCCACCCCTCTATAAGCTACCCTCTACCCCCCTCTATAAGCTATA